AAACCCCAACGGGGGGTTGGTCGCTGCCGTTCGTTGGTTGGATCCACCTTCGGAAAATCACTCACGATGACGCGCTCGTATCGTATCTTTGCTCTCTTTCTTCCTCCTCGCAAGCGAAAAATAAAGATGAAAAGAGGCGAGAGGGAGGGAGGAGGAAGATGGAGGAATCTATCTTCGTTGGCGAACGCATATCAATATTCTTGTGTTTAATAATAACGAGATGTCGCGTGTCGATGCATTTCTTTTTTGCTCGCCTCCGCATGCTCGCCGGGGCAAAATGTTAGAGCGATAATATTCTCTGATAATTACGAGGACGATATGCGTGGACGATAGCGATTATGAGTGGTTTTTGTACGATCAAACGGGCACTCGACGGAGATTGTAACTTTCCCGAATCACCTCCGTCACGTGACCGATTTGTATCCTCGAAATATGATTATCAGTTGAATATGATTATCAGTTGATTCTGGATTTCGCGCTCGCTTCGATCATCGTGATTTTTATCAATGCTGGACGTAAATAGCTACGTATAGGTGTTTTTTGCAGAAAGGCGAAGAAGGCCAATATGAAAATTGAAGTCATCGATCTGCGTTAGTTATTTCATCATGCCGATGATACACGGCGATACCGTACCAGCTTGAGTTATAACAGTAAAAAATTGCCTTTCGTGAATCGCTTCTTAAGTTATAATTTGGAGGTATAAATTAAGAAACTTTTTTTAATCAGTGTAATCTCAAAGTATAAATTAAAGTAAAAATTAATCGCACCTTCGAACGCTAAATATTCGAAATTCAGCCCGTAACGTTTTCGAATTATGAATGCCAATATCCCGATATCTCTAAAGCGCGATACAAAAAAATTTGGATTGAATATCGATCTCTTTCATTAGATCGTATTGATCTTTTTCTCCTTTATAAAGAACATCAGGAATCTCATCCTATTTCGTGTATATCGTAATTGCTCTTCCAGCATTCCAGAATGATAGAAATTATTTCTGAATCTGCGTTCCTCTTTCTCTCTGACGGCGCAAAATAAAATTAAATCCCGTATTTTATTATCAAGGCAAAATCGAACTCTTCTCTTTTCATTAAAACAAAAGTTCTTATTTATATCAAAGTAATAAAAATCCCTCTTTTTGTCAATCAAGACAAAATTAAATTCCTCCTTGATATCCAAAATAAAGCTAAATCCTCTACTTTATATCGAGACACAAATAATATAAATTTCTTATTTTATTAAAAGGTGGAGCTAAGAGAGCCTGGCATCCTCTGAATCGCTTCCTGAGACGATTGTACGCGCCGGTGGACCGCGCGGAAAATCTCTTCCTGAAGATGCGCAATCTCTCCGTCATGGCAAACCAGATAGTATTCCTGATTCTAGCTGACAGAGTGTTGCTGCCGCAACAGAGGCTGACCTGCCTATATACGCTCATGTTCTACAACGTGATAGCCTACTGCGTGAGCTACATTAAGGAGCTGATCCAGAAGGAGGACTGGTCGCCGTACGTCACCCTGACCGAGCGGTCCAAGATCAAGCATCTCGCGATGTCGGCTACCAAGATCGTGCTCGAATGGACCAAGGCGGTGACATTCGTCGTCACATTAACCTTCATGCTTCTCGTATTCGGATTGGAACAAGGTCTCGACCATTACAAGTGCGTAACTTAATTGAAAAATTTTTTTTGGTCTGCGTAATAATTGAGAGATTATCATTGTTCCTCTGCTTATTATATATTATTCATATTATGAGACCCGACAAGACAGAAGAGACATATTACTGGCGCCTGATGATTCAAAGAGCTCGATAAATGTACTTTTATTACATTTCTTTTAATACATTAAATACAGTACTCTCGAAATTGTCAAAAATAAAATTAAGAATTTAAGAAAGAATGAGAGTGTAAGCGTGATACTCTGCGTAATGATTTCTTTTATACAAATGATACCTGAGTTTATTTAAAAAATTAGCGTATATATATATATATATATATATATATAATATATATTCGAATTAATGTTATTTGAACTGTATGCTTAATTATTTTTTAAATGGAAATTTTACCAGTGCAGCAACTCAAAGCCAGTTTTATAACCATAAATTTGAAAATCAATTTTTGCCTTTTGCTCTATTAGAAATTCTTATTACGAAAATATCACCACCGCTAGGACTCGAGAACCTGAATCATCCGCTTACCAGGCAGGTACCTTATCTTTTCGACCACTGAGGCATGTTATCTGGTTATTGTTTTAAGTAAATATTATCACATGTGGTCTTATTTGAAACTTAGCTTGGCAGATTATATTGTATTCTTTATTTTTTATGTCAGGTGAAAAAAAGCGTGTAGTTTTAAATCTTATTTGATTATTGCGATAAATATTATCACATACCTCAGTAGTCGGAAGGATAAGATATCTGCTCAGTATGGCGATGATTTCTTTATAGTAAAAAATAGTAAAAAAATAGTTGCAGTCAGATTATTATCATTCTTAAAGCCTAAAAATGTTATTTTACTTTTGCTGCTACAATTTTTTCAAAACATCAATAATAACATTATGACAGTGATGCTAGACAAAAATGCTATGGCATTTAAGGTTTAAGCTGTAACAACGTTATCGTAGATGTTTTACAGCTTCATGTATTATTTGGGCGCACACATCTTTATCATACCTGGCTTATAGATCGTTCCTTTATATTTTTCTTAATATTGCAAGTCCTTCTCTCTTTCTCAAAATATTTGCATTATGTACTATGAATTATGTCTAATAATAATAATAATAATAATAATAAATAAATAATAAATTCACATTTAATAATAAATTCACAGTATTAGATATATAATTAAAATATAAAGATAGCAGCTTCAAAGCTGCGACCGAACAGTGCAGAAATAACAGTTGCGCGATCTTGGCGAGGAATTATCGTAGGTCACGGTGACCTACCGCGTCTTCAGATCGTCTTCAGATCGTCTTCAGATACTCACCTGAACTCTGGAATCCTCTCGCTGCTTCGCGGTTTGTCTCCTCTCTAATCGGCGACGATCCCTTTCGTGCGGACACCAACTCGCCCAATGCTCGACTGAAGGCGGTGCGCGGTTAGTTTTATAGGTAGCAGAGGCTCTCCGCGTCCTGATGTCCCCGACCGGGGGATGGGATCCTTCGGTTGCCATGTGAAATCCTACGGGTCCCACGTACTTCATCGCTATGTCGCGTCGCCTCCTTAGCATCTGTCCTTGTCTCGTCCTGCTGCCATGTCGTCGGTGACTCGTCCTGACTGACATCCATTAATATGCAAATCCTCTCTCGCCGACTCTCTCTCTGAGACTCGTTAGTAAAAATGAAGTCGATCATTCATCGACGAAGCCACGTCGATTACGTTATACTCAATTAACGGTGGCCGAAGAAGACCTTCTCTCTCTCTCTCTCTCT